GACGAAAAAATTTTACTCGTCATAAAACAATAAATACTTTATCAAATTTTTATTCATAAAAATGCACTTTCAACTGCTTTTTATTTTATAAAATCCGTCTTCTTGCGCCACCAGAGGGCCTTTTAAACAATAGGTAGTCTGTTAGCTTTGGTCAGTAGTAGTCCAAATTCAATACAAACATTTGTTTCTTGACAATTTGATCACGGTTTAAATACAGTATTTACTTTTATGTGTCATTGAAAAGAAAAAGTGTTGTATTATCATTAAAAGACAAATTAAAGTATTTGTTTAGATTATCCGGATTTTTCCTTATCCGGACTACTTTCATCCCCAATTAGTCCAGATAATCGAGGTTCTACTGTATTGTTTTAATAAAAATATTGAAAATCTAGTAGTTTGTAAATTCATCATATGCAATGTAAATCTTGCATCTCAACAGGAAATCATATTTAATCTTGTCATTGGGTTTTACATGTAGAACTGAAAGAATATTGATTAACCATGAAAGATTTCATTGCAACATATAATTTTTCAACATTTTTCAACATATAATCATTCATGCAGAACATGCCATTTGATGGGATAACTATGATCATTTCACAGAGAAATCTGTGAAATGATCTTAATGATAATTTATGTCTTCATATATCAATTTTTATGGACTTTGCTGGAAGGTTAGATAAATTTAGTATAAATCATCTTTTGATACACAAAGTTGATCAGTGCATCTATTCCTCAGGTAAAAATCCTCTTTTTAAAATTGTGACCAGATTATGAATCAATTCCAAAACATTTACAGACTTCTTGATGTACTATTATCATAAAGTTTGTGTTAGCAAACTGCATGACAAAAAATGCCTCTTGTGTGGCATTGCCATTTTGTAATGAGACCATCCTTCTGATGGAAAAGAGCAATGCATTGTCTCATATCAATTTGACAAACTTTGAGAATTATTCTACACACTGTTCAGATGATATCTACATATACATAAAAGTGTCATTATAAATATAAGTATTAGCTAGAGGACCAATAATGATCATTGACATAAACAGTGGAGGATCCAGGCTAGACAAACATCAATCACTTTTGCTTTAGAAGTAAGGTTCATTTGCAGTTGTACTAATAATTGCTATTATCAATTGCATCAATCATCATTTTATCAATAGAGGAATAAAAACAAGCTCTGTTTGTTACTGCTCTGACATTCTTTGCTCATTCATTGACAAATTGAATAGAATGAACTAAACAATTGGTAATCTCAGTAAGATAGTATTACTGACCATACTACTATACAATTGTGGTTGTATGCCATATTTTGTATATATTTTGATAAATTCCTTTCTTTCTTTCTTTCTTTCTTTGTTCTATCCCTTCTATAATGTTCTTTCTTAACCCTTTCCTCTTGGGTGCTGATGACTAATCCATAGAACAAAAGAAAAGAAGCCCTGAGGGCTAAGTTGGGAGAGCAACAATCACTCTTTGGCTTGGATGTCTGAGGGAAAGGATGTGGAACGGTCATGCTCCAGATCATGTATTGGCAGCGACTGGAGGTGAGGAGAAACCCATACTATCCTGAATGCAAGTCTGGTGAAGAGCGAAAAAAATAGAGACTCACAGAGAATACCACAGAGATTTTTGCAGTAAGGAAAAGACAGAGATCATCTTGCTTTTGTACAAGAAATGAGAGTCAGGATTGACATCACACCCAGGATTACATAGAAGAACGGGTACCCACTTTCCTATAGATCTATCTCTTAATTCTTTCTAAACATATCCTTTCTCTTCCTTACTATTTAGTTAGTTTTAAGGCCCTAGAATTAATCCCTTTTTTTGGTTATCACAGTCCTGAAGATATTAGTACATATTATTTGTTTCAAACCTGTTATTAATCATAGTATTTTTATCACCTTTTGTCATGAGTATAATCTGTATTCATATAATATTCTTGGACTGAGGAAAGTTGGAATCCACAGAACCTCGTTCATCAAATGAAATAAAGATATTGTTTCTTGTATATGTATCTTTGAGTGCAATGAACATCACACAATCAATGGCACTCCTGGATGAAGACTTAGAGATTGATGAATGAGAGAGCCAAAACTTTTTTGAGATTATTCATACTTGCCTGATTTTTACCTTTCGGAAACAGCAGAAAGCAAAATTTATGATAAGATCCAAATATACTTCAAGAACTACAAAACATTTTCATTTTCATAAAGGGGATGAAAACTCGGGACTACTCATTGGTATTGCCCGAGTGTGAAGAAGAGTAGAGGAAAGGTAGTTAAGGGAAGAGGCGAAGGGGAAAGAGTAAAGCGAGATGGGAAAGAGTAAAGCGAGATAGGAAAGGGGATGAAAAGGGAAAGTTTCATGGGCGCCCAGCCTGTTTTATTAAGAATCAAATATACTTCAAGAACTGAAAAAACACCATTGTAATTTCTTACATCAAAGGAGTACCAACATAGGAGCTAAAGAAATGTTTAACAATAAAAAAGTTGCATAACATCATACATGATAACATGAACAACCCAGGATATCTTCAAATTAAAATTGAATTATGACTATTTAAAAAAATTATAAAATTTTTCGAGTCTATCTTTCATATTTTTAACACACCACAGAATCCTCAAATAAAAGGTTGGTGTTTCGATCATTTTTAACTTTGTGTATTTTTGTTATAATTTATCAAGTGTTCTGTGGAAGTTTATCCAAGCCAATATACTATTACTTCTGTGGTGTGTTAAAAGGATGAAAGATAGACTCAAAAAATTTTATAATTTTTTGTAAATAGTCATAATTCAATTTTCAATTTTTAATAAAAAAGTTAATGTGAACAGATTTGTTTGGATGCTCATAGTAGTCATTTTCAACATTTGATGTACAAATTAAAAATCAAAACTATCTGTTAGAAACTAATTCTGATAATGAAATAAATTACAGTAAAACCTCAATCTATCATTCCCAGATATATCATTTTCTCAGAAACATCATTTAATTTGTTAGGTCTCTGAATAAATTATTTAAACTATGAAAATTAAACCTGCATCTATCATTTCTCAATACTAAGAATGCTAATCCCAAACTGCTCATTTTTAAGAAAGAGCAACATCACACACACATTAGTATGCATTGATAGTAGTAATAGCAATTGATATTTTTGAAATACGGTATAAAAAGTATGAGTTTGTATTGTATAGTTAGGTGCAACCTTGCACAGATGTTAAGTGCCAGAGCTGGAAGGGAAGGATAGTGGTTATAACAATGAAGGCAAGCTGTATATATTTGATTGACTAAATACATACAGGCAAATGAAACAAAACTCATTTTTAAAGTTTATGTTCCATGATATGTTAGCATTCCATTTTAGAACTCAGTTGTTCCTGAAGAAGGCCTTCAGTGTAGGCCAGAAACACTTAAACTGTTTTATTACCCTGCTGATTTGGATGTAAGGTTACTGAAACATTCATAGGTATTGTCCCATTTGAGTTTGAAGAATTTGGTGTTAGTTAAAATATGGTCACATAACTAATAACATCTTCATACATTGTATATAAATTTACATCTTTTTATCTACTAAGAGTAAGGAAATGCTATTAAAAACATTAAAATGAATGAAATATCAGTTTACAATACAACTGAAAAAATTATATTTGAACATAATATTTTTTAATTATTTTATTATAATTTTTATTATTATAATAATTTATAATATATATCCTATGCTGATGATATTAAATTGATTAACCATGACTCTCTTTCCTTCAGTCTGATCCACTCTATCTTCCCTTTTAGAAAAAACTAACCTAAAAATTAATTTACAAAAAACTGTAGTCATGTTTTTTTCACTCATTTGTAATCCTGTTGCCCACATTCTATATTTACAATAATCCCATAAAATATGTTAATTCTTATAATGACCTTGGGGTTATTTCTGATCCTAAACTTACTTTCAAAGGACATGTTGATAAGATCATTAAATCTCTAGCTATTCATTATGGATACACTCCACCATACCTTTAAAATTTTAAAGGTATGGTGGAGTGTATTAATTAATAATGCAGTTAGAGATTTAATAATTCATTATGGAATTCTTTTGACATTTTTGCAAAAATATTTCTTCAAAAACAGTCTTAAATTCCATTTATTTTCCAATATTCAGTCTCTACTTGATTATTGTCTGACAATATGGGCTATGGCTGCCTCTTTCCATTTACAAAAAATATTAATTAAGCATTAGATAAAATATTTCTTATTCTAAATAAACTCTCTAATCTTCCTTTTACTCATAATGCTAATGTTGCTAAGTCCAGATTGGGAATTCCCAGTTTTACTGAATGTATTAAATACCTTGACCATTTACTTTTATACAAATACTTCCATGGTTCCATTTGTTCTTAGTGGCTGTGCCCAAGAGATCCACCACAAGTTACTCATAATCAAACTTGTTTATTTACCCCACCTTCTAGGCTTTGTTTCCTTCAGATCATTTTTCTTTTGGTCAGTTCAGAATATGGGCTGTGTGGAACAATCTCTACATGAAGATTTTCTATCTTTTAAACACATTTGTAAATGGTTACTTTATAATATTTAATCATTTGTTTTTATTTATGTATATTTTTTATCATGTACTTTGACTGTTATCCCTTTTTTATTTGTAGTTTAATCTTTTCTTATGGGCGTTATTTTTGGGGGAAGGAAATCAATTGTCTTATGACATTTTCTTTTGTATATGCAATAAATAAATAAATTTAATTATTTTATAAGTGTAAATAAATTTTAAAAATTAATTAATTAATTACTTGTTGAACTATAAGTATTACAGTTACATCAGTTATTTTGGAAGTGAATATTTTTCTCTTTATTTTAAAATAGAAAATTAATATTATCCTATCAAAAAACATTTTAAAAAATTTTAAATAAAATCATATTTAAACAAACAATATTTAATATTTATAAAAATATTAAAAATACATAAATAATTTAATATTACAATACTTACATCAGCCATAGTAGCTTCCATTACAGGACAAAAATATTCCATTAACACCATAGCTAACTGATACCAAACAGCACACATTTCACAAAATAAGCATGGGCCATCTTCTTTATCATTCTCACTTTCTGAACATGTATGAATGCCTATCCATGGAGCTTTTATAATGTCATGTAATAGAACCATGACTTTTTGAGCTTCTTCTTGTTCCAATCCTTTATGCTGTGATACCTCTTGGAGCTCTAACTGCATGATTATAGAAATAATTATAACATTATATAATCGGTTAATTAAAAATAGCAACATTAATTCATATCACATGTAAAACAAGAAGATATATAATATTCTGCATTACAAGTAACTAAAATTAAAATTTTTTAAATAAAAATTTTTGAATATATTAATTTTAAATATAAATTTCCACTTAAGTGGAAATTGCAAATATAGAAAGAAATAGATTGAAAAAATAAGATTAAATAATTTTTAAAAATATATGATTAAAAAAGAAAAATATGTTTTTATGCCAAAAAAAATTTTCTACCATATTTTTAATGCATCTTATAGTAAATATTTATTTTTAGTGAAAGTGAAAACCTTAGTTGCTGATTCTCATCCATGAAAGCAGTTTAACACTTTAATTATGTCTTTGTGGGTCATCACTTTGACCTTTTTTAATATTTTGCCATTAGAATCTTGTTTAGATAACATTCAACAATGTTATCTAAACAATGTTATTTGAATAAATAAAATAAAAACTAAGTAAAATATAATTGTAAAACACAATGCCTATGTCACAATATACAATATAAATCACAACACTTAATAAAACATTTAACACCTTCTATCGCTGAGAATACTTAATTTAAACACAAACATTTTCAGCCTAATGTAATAGGCCATCCTCAGGTGAACTGGCATTTGAATGTACAGTGATACCTCAAACTTATGCGATAGGTGGGACCGAGCGATAACCATGTAAGTCGAATTCGCGTAAGTTGGGGTATAATTTCACAATTTGTGTAAAATCCAAGTCGGATGTATGTAAGCTAATAAATGTTCTCGTTAATCTTATCTCGTCTTTTGATTCATTCACGGTTACAAGAAATCACCACATAGAGTCTCTCAAGTCTTCGTAGATATAACAAACACAGAAATAAATAACAAAATAAATTGTAGCTATGTGTCGATTCCGCGCAACATGTCCAAACATGTGGGGGGAGTGAGTAATCAAGAGTTGCATGGTGCTCAAACAAAAGACAAATCAACGAGATTTGAAAATCGCGTAACTCCTGGTTTGCGTAAGTCGGGGTAGCATAAGTCGAGGTATTACTGTATTTCGAAATTGTATTAAATGGAACGTTTGATCATTATAAATTCAAAATTAAAATGAAAAATACAGTAGAGCATCATTTATCCAAATCAATTGGGGACTGGGGTTGTTCAGATAACTTATTTTTTGGATAACCGATTACGTACGAAAAAATATATTAAGCTATCCCATGTTGAAATTTTTCTCCATTGCGTGTCACTTTGTATTGAATTTTCATTGATGTTAAGCCTAACGTAAACTTTTTTAAATAATAATCGTGGCTATTGTATTGTTAAAAATTATTTCTTTATATTTTATAAATAAAATAAATATATTGAAAAATATAAAAACAAAAAAAAAATTATACTTTAGAAGTTAATCTAGTATCTAAAACATTCGATTCGCGACACACAGTCCTCAGAAAAACACCACACAAAAGTGCCAGTGCTGCCAGCTAAAACACACACACATCAACAAAAAAAAATATTGGAGTAGCCCAAGATATAGCCAAAGATTGCAGTGCCACAGCACTAGCAAAAATTTAAATTTGCTGACTGAAATGCTTTTGATTAACCGACATTTTGGATAACCGGCTTCTGGATAAACAATGCTCTACTGTAAATAAATTAACAAATCAATAACAAAAATAAATATACTAAATACATTGAAGCCATAACAATATAAATAATATTAATAAAATAAAACTAAATAAAATAGATCAAAAATAAAATAAATTAAAATAAATACATAAAAAGGCATCACAATATAAGGGAAGATAGGGACTAAGAATTTGTATATTTTAATTTTTCTTTTATGAAGAACTTCCATGCAGAAGCTAATCCATCTGCAACCCTTGCATTAATACAGCTATCCCTTAATTTACTTTTATAGATTTCAATCTTTTCATGTCGCAAAGCCAATGATGGGGACCGCATGGTCTTGAGAATAGTTGCTTCATTCCATTTAACTACAGAAGCCTCCGCTTGTGCCATACTTGACAAAACCGTGATGCAGTGTCCTTTGCTAATGTCATATTTGTGTTTCTTAAGTCTAATAGTTAAATTCCTTCTTGTGACTCCAATATAGTCCTTAATTCCTAGTTGTTGGTTTTCAAACGGAATTTTATATACGTCCGCTTTTTCTTCTTTCTTAAGCTTGTCCTTGTCGTTTCTGAAAATACTATACAAATTAGGAGCTCTTTTGTAAACAATTTGGGAGTGTTTTTTTGTCCAAAACTTGCTTCATGATGTCCTTGATTTTTTTATTATATGTGAACTTTGTGATTTTTAACTGATTTGTCTGGATTCTTAAGCTTTTGCCTCTCATAACTTTTAATTAGCCCTTCTATTGTACTTTTCCTATAACCCAAGTTTGAAGCTACTTCTTTGATCCTATTAATCTCCTTAATCCTGTCTAGTACATTAGAGCAATATGAATACGCTCTTCTGATGAGTGCACAAAATGCTGACATTTTGTATCCATATGGGTCATTCGAGTTAGCTGGTATGTAAAGAGAACTGTGTGCTGGTTTTATGTAAATACTCATTGTTATACAATCTCCTTTTACTTGTATGTCTATATCTAGAAAATGTATTCGTTCGTGACTCTTTTGCTCTAGTTTAAGTTTCAAACCATCATTATTGGTGATGTTGATTGCTTGTACAAACTCGTGTATTCTCTTGCTGTTTTTCCAAATAATGCACACAACATCCACATATCTTTTGTAAAATACCATATACTTTTTGAATCCATTAATAATGTGTTTTTCTAAGTTGCATATAACCAGCTCACATAGCAATCCTGACATCAGGCTTCCCATAAATACTCCTTTCTTTTGTCTGTATACTTGTTTATTGATAGATGTTAAATGTTTTATTAAGTGTTTTTAAAAGAAACTAAGTTTGATATTTAATAAATCACAACATTTATTATAACAATGTGAAATTATTTAGTAATCCATTACAATCTAATAGCCAAAAATATGTATTTATATATTATTTATTTATTAGAATATGTTTAAGATAAAAACATTCAAAATCTATTAATTCTTTCTCTTATCTATCATTTCATTATTTTTTTTTAATCCTACAAATAAGCAATTTTTAGCTCTGCAAATATATGAAATGTGTGAATATAGAGCTTCTATCATATGCTTATTTCCTGTAGCATTTATTGTATATTTCAAAGTATTATTTGTAAAAAAATGTTATTAGTTTTCTGGCCATACAAAAAACTTGATAAACAAAATAACAAGATACGTAACATCAAAAATCTTAATTTGTCATTTATTAATAAAACCAAAGTATTTTATAAAAAACTAAATGAAATGAAAATAAAAAATAAATATTTCTACAAGAAATTTACAAGTATTAATTGCAAATCAAAATTATTGTAAGAACTACTACTATTCAGCTACACAGAATATTGATTTTGTACTGGATTTGAATTTATTTTGTACCATATATTAAAAAATTTTATCAAATAAAGTTCATATATATATATTTGTAGTCTGAAAATACTTTTTCAATGCTTATAATTTAAATATCATTGATGTAAACAAATACATTTCTGCTACAAGAATATCAAAAATTTCATTAATGTAATAATGCTTCAAAAAAAAATCTTACCTGTTTAATTAATGTATCTATCATCAATATGAAGCATGTTAAATTTATTTCAGCTTCAGATTTATATTCAATATTTTGTGTTAAATTGAATTCTTCAGCAACATTTGATGATTCATCAGTTCCTGATCCTTGTTTTATGTCTGTCTTCTTTGCTAGACCAACTGTACTTTGTTGTCTTGGAATAACTTTTGATATTTTCCCTTTCACTTCTTCTTGTATTTCAATAGTGGAAATAACACCTTTACTAAACATTGTCAATATTAAATTTAAAGGAATAGGAACTTCCAGCATAGTAAGTATCTGTAAAAATATATATATATATTTATGTAATCATTCCCTAAAAAATTAAAATTACAAATTTCAATTTACAGATTTATTTTGATAAATTTATCTATATCAGTTCCAACATAATATAAATTTTAGAATTCAAGAAAGCTAACAAGTAAGAATTAGTATTAAATAAACAAATTTATTTCATAATAATTCTGTAAAAATAAATAAATAAATTGATAATATGTTATTATTTTAATAATTGTTTATTGTATACAAGTGGCTAGTTGGGACAATATCTCCAATATAGTAAATAGTTTTGTTATGGGGCATTTTCTTTTTCAGGTGGTACCTATTTACTAATCCTTCTATGGTTGATACCTACAATCAAAATCTGCTTCTATTTATGCTACTTATACTTAAGTTAGTTTCTTTGTCTCCCCCAAAATTAAAAAATGCCTTATGCTATGGTGTCATCAAGTGTTCAGTTAAGATACCTATGTTAAAAACAAAACAAACAGATTTTCAATGATTTCTTTGACAAATTTCAAAATTATTTTACTTTTCCTACCATTCTGGAGCTGAGATCTTTCATCAAGCTATCAACCATAAAAATCCATCTAGTGGTTTATGCAAAATTTCTTGTAAACTATAGAATTATATATTGAGAGATAATTAAAATAAATTGATCATCCTGTTTATGTTGTTCAAATAGATCATAATAATAAAAAATACCATCTTTTTATGTAGATAATCTGCAAGACCATATAACTTTCATGTAACCTATACCAGTACATATCTCACACCTTCAAAGTGGCATTAAAAACATGATATGCAAGTTAGAACGTATTATCTCAGGCATGTTATTTTGTTTTCTATTTCTCCCATTCATTTCTAATAGAAGTTCAGTGTAGATGTAATTTTCAAAAACAAAATTAGAAACTCATCTGCTTTCAAGATACATGTGTAACCTTTCATTCAATAATAAGTGTATAGGATTAAAATTTATTTTATTTTATGGTTGTTCAGAAAAAAAGTAAAAGTGTTTAATAGCATCTATTAAAGGGGATCAATGCACAAAAAAAATGAATGGGAGAATACTAGAGGAAAAGCATATGATACATACCTTCAGAGAATTTTGGAAAAAATTGTCTGCAGTAGATTCATATGTCAATACAGATAACCAATAATTTTGAATGATGTCAGACAAAACTGTATAAGTACTTCCTAATAGATTACAAGTTGCAAAATCAGTAGATAACTACCCCATTATATAACTAGCACTTAATTTCAAATTGATTTTTCTCATAGACTAGAAATTTTCCCATCAAGCATGATGGACTACTTTCTGTGAAAAAGCAGAGATTGAAGAATTGAGAAGAGATTTCAAGAAATTCAAGAAGCGTAGCTAATATTTCTACAAATTAAGTAGCCTATACTGTGGAGCTGGAACATAACTGATGCACAATAATACATTTTAATGAACAGGTTTTGTTAGACTGTTATTTACAATTGGTTGATAGAAAGTCATATGGTCACTATGGAATGTTGTTAAAAAAATTGTAGAAACAACATGCAGCTATATTTTTAAATTTTTAATGTTTAAATTTTAAAGTAAATTTTAAATTGCATCACTTGCCAAAATATTTTAAAATGCATCTTAAGGTAAATGATGTCACTGAGCTGAAATTGATAAACTTTTTTTAATAGCTAATAGCTGATATTTCTGCAAACTAAGTAGCTTATACTTTCCATTGGATCATAAAAAGAATATAACCAAAATTTCAATTGGCTTGGATAAAAATAAGGGTTATAGGGATTCAATATTGATATCAACATACCACACTTCTAAATAAAAAATTATTAACAAAAACAATATAACAATAAATAAATAGATAATACAATGTGTTATAAGTAACACCATATGTGGAAAAAGAAAGATAACAAATTAAGTTAATAAAAACAAACAGACTTTGGTTATTATATTAAAAATAATATCATCTTTCACATAAAAATATAGTAAATAAAAGTAGAAAGATTGTTACAGATCTTAATTTTTGGCAAAAGAAATAAAATATAAGTTACATAAATGTGTAGTTATATGTAAAACTCCTTTTGTAAAAGAAAAATCTATGAATTTATTAATGTATATTTTCTATCAAAATTGATTTAATAGTTAAACTTGACAGTTTATTATATATTTCATTTTATTCCAACTTTAATCACTATGAATGCAATACCTGTATATATATTTTATATATACGATCAAGGATATTTGATATTTTCCTTTAAGTATAAGTATGCTATATGAAAAAATTTTTAAACAATGTTTTCATCATCACAACAAAAATATCTCTGACAAGATTTCCCATCAAGTTTTCCAAGTAGGTTTTTCAAAATAGTATATCAGTTGGTTTGAAGAATCTTTTAGAAAATCCATTAACCATGTATGTAAATAAGTTGTTTTTCGGAAAATACATTTGGTATTTAATTTTTATGAACAATTCACAGTGTAAGCAAAACAAACAAACATTATAACCCAATATAAAAGAAAAATAGAGAGAAATAGTAAATTGGTTTGTAATTCTGATATTGTAAAGATTAAATTACAATATAGTGAGAATTCTAATACTGGTAGTAGTAAAATCAAGACTCCTGGTAATACTAGTTATAATCCAAAACAAAATATACTGAAATACCTGCTGATCAATATTGATAATTTAATATTAACCTACAATTTGTTAAAGTATGATTTTCACTTTATGTTTTATCACAGCTGCAAGAATAATAAAAATATATCAATCATTATCATAAATTGAATATTCATAAGTTAAAATCCACCTGCATATTTACAATATTTATTATTTGTCCTACGCAACAAAGATATCAAACATAAGACAAACTAGTTTTATTGAGTTGCGAGTGGATACTTTCAATAATCATTTGGTAACTTTCTGGGTGGATATTAGTTACTATGAGAAAGATATAAAATGAAATCAAATATTTTCCTTTGACAAGTATTTAATAATGATTTAACTAATAAGTGTACAGGAGGAAACATATTTTTCTGTATCTGCACTAAAGGGTACAAAAATTTGCTCAATATTATTGAATGACAGCATCAATAATATGCTTTTTTTTTTGTAACTCTTTAGTATTCATTGTTCTTTAAACATTATAATTTATATTTTTATATAACAGAGCATTTTTTCCCTTTCTTTTACTTTACTATAACTTTATTGTATTACTCACTAATAGATTATTGTCTTAAATTATAAAATATAACAATTCAGTGGGTGATCAGTTAACAAACAGTTAGGACTGCAACAAACACATTTGCAAACAATTTTTGTTTGGACAACAAATGCATGTTCAGATAATGAACACCTCATGGAACAAACACAAGCAGCAGCAATGCTGCATTTAAGATTTGTAAAACGATATTTTACTGGCATCTATGAATAGTTTCTGGAATGAAACTTTCACAGTTATATACATAACCATTTTTGCACTAGTTGATTTCTGTTCTCTGAATTTTTTGTAAGTGCTTTTCTGAACTTTTTATTTTAAAATACTGATAATATTATAGGGTCTAAAAAGAGTGTTCGCTATAGAAACTAAGCAAGAAATAATAGCTAAGGTAGAGAGTGGGCAGATGTCAGATGTTGCTAGGCAGTATGGCTTCAACAGATCTATAGTAGATACAATCTTAGCTAAGAAAGATATAATGAAAAAGACTCAAGCAGATAAAGGAGTAACAAAAATCACATCTGAGAAACAAAGATGTGTCATCCATGAAAAAAATAGAGAGATTGCTTTTAGTTTGTTATTGCATGTAAATAAATGTAGTAAGAAATTATATTGTTTTTTTATTTACTTTTTGGAGTCTCCAAAATGAATTAATCAAATTCCCATAAAAATCTATGGTAAATCAATAATCGGTTAACAAACAATTCGGGTAGTGAACATTGTCTTTGAACACCATATATCTTTAAATTAGAAATTTTTTTGAATATCATGTATTTGACTAACACAATTTCCCAATACTGAAAAATACCAATTCTATTGATTTTGCAGAAATTCTACTACTAAAATTCTGGTATTTGGTATTAAAAATTCATCCAGTGTAGAAATGAAATTACACTTTACAAGTATAGTAGTAATGAAATTATACTTTACAAACCTGTAACCAATAGAGTGCTTGTTCTTGTACTGGGGCAGTAGAATTTTCAAATCTTGAACTAAGAAATCTATACATTTCCTGAGTACTAAATCCAAGAGGACTTAAATCAGGATCCAAAACTTTGCTAATAATTAAAACAAGAACAATTTATTTAGCCAATAGTGAATTTTCTTTTGCTATTTATTTTTATTTTCAAGCTTATATAATATTAAATGACTATTATGATTCNTATGTCTATATCTAGAAAATGTATTCGTTCGTGACTCTTTTGCTCTAGTTTAAGTTTCAAACCATCATTATTGGTGATGTTGATTGCTTGTACAAACTCGTGTATTCTCTTGCTGTTTTTCCAAATAATGCACACAACATCCACATATCTTTTGTTTAATATTTATAAAAATATTAAAAATACATAAATAATTTAATATTACAATACTTACATCAGCCATAGTAGCTTCCATTACAGGACAAAAATATTCCATTAACACCATAGCTAACTGATACCAAACAGCACACATTTCACAAAATAAGCATGGGCCATCTTCTTTATCATTCTCACTTTCTGAACATGTATGAATGCCTATCCATGGAGCTTTTATAATGTCATGTAATAGAACCATGACTTTTTGAGCTTCTTCTTGTTCCAATCCTTTATGCTGTGATACCTCTTGGAGCTCTAACTGCATGATTATAGAAATAATTATAACATTATATAATCGGTTAATTAAAAATAGCAACATTAATTCATATCACATGTAAAACAAGAAGATATATAATATTCTGCATTACAAGTAACTAAAATTAAAATTTTTTAAATAAAAATTTTTGAATATATTAATTTTAAATATAAATTTCCACTTAAGTGGAAATTGCAAATATAGAAAGAAATAGATTGAAAAAATAAGATTAAATAATTTTTAAAAATATATGATTAAAAAAGAAAAATATGTTTTTATGCCAAAAAAAATTTTCTACCATATTTTTAATGCATCTTATAGTAAATATTTATTTTTAGTGAAAGTGAAAACCTTAGTTGCTGATTCTCATCCATGAAAGCAGTTTAACACTTTAATTATGTCTTTGTGGGTCATCACTTTGACCTTTTTTAATATTTTGCCATTAGAATCTTGTTTAGATAACATTCAACAATGTTATCTAAACAATGTTATTTGAATAAATAAAATAAAAACTAAGTAAAATATAATTGTAAAACACAATGCCTATGTCACAATATACAATATAAATCACAACACTTAATAAAACATTTAACACCTTCTATCGCTGAGAATACTTAATTTAAACACAAACATTTTCAGCCTAATGTAATAGGCCATCCTCAGGTGAACTGGCATTTGAATGTACAGTGATACCTCAAACTTATGCGATAGGTGGGACCGAGCGATAACCATGTAAGTCGAATTCGCGTAAGTTGGGGTATAATTTCACAATTTGTGTAAAATCCAAGTCGGATGTATGTAAGCTAATAAATGTTCTCGTTAATCTTATCTCGTCTTTTGATTCATTCACGGTTACAAGAAATCACCACATAGAGTCTCTCAAGTCTTCGTAGATATAACAAACACAGAAATAAATAACAAAATAAATTGTAGCTATGTGTCGATTCCGCGCAACATGTCCAAACATGTGGGGGGAGTGAGTAATCAAGAGTTGCATGGTGCTCAAACAAAAGACAAATCAACGAGATTTGAAAATCGCGTAACTCCTGGTTTGCGTAAGTCGGGGTAGCATAAGTCGAGGTATTACTGTATTTCGAAATTGTATTAAATGGAACGTTTGATCATTATAAATTCAAAATTAAAATGAAAAATACAGTAGAGCATCATTTATCCAAATCAATTGGGGACTGGGGTTGTTCAGATAACTTATTTTTTGGATAACCGATTACGTACGAAAAAATATATTAAGCTATCCCATGTTGAAATTTTTCTCCATTGCGTGTCACTTTGTATTGAATTTTCATTGATGTTAAGCCTAACGTAAACTTTTTTAAATAATAATCGTGGCTATTGTATTGTTAAAAATTATTTCTTTATATTTTATAAATAAAATAAATATATTGAAAAATATAAAAACAAAAAAAAAATTATACTTTAGAAGTTAATCTAGTATCTAAAACATTCGATTCGCGACACACAGTCCTCAGAAAAACACCACACAAAAGTGCCAGTGCTGCCAGCTAAAACACACACACATCAACAAAAAAAAATATTGGAGTAGCCCAAGATATAGCCAAAGATTGCAGTGCCACAGCACTAGCAAAAATTTAAATTTGCTGACTGAAATGCTTTTGATTAACCGACATTTTGGATAACCGGCTTCTGGATAAACAATGCTCTACTGTAAATAAATTAACAAATCAATAACAAAAATAAATATACTAAATACATTGAAGCCATAACAATATAAATAATATTAATAAAATAAAACTAAATAAAATAGATCAAAAATAAAATAAATTAAAATAAATACATAAAAAGGCATCACAATATAAGGGAAGATAGGGACTAAGAATTTGTATATTTTAATTTTTCTTTTATGAAGAACTTCCATGCAGAAGCTAATCCATCTGCAACCCTTGCATTAATACAGCTATCCCTTAATTTACTTTTATAGATTTCAATCTTTTCATGTCGCAAAGCCAATGATGGGGACCGCATGGTCTTGAGAATAGTTGCTTCATTCCATTTAACTACAGAAGCCTCCGCTTGTGCCATACTTGACAAAACCGTGATGCAGTGTCCTTTGCTAATGTCATATTTGTGTTTCTTAAGTCTAATAGTTAAATTCCTTCTTGTGACTCCAATATAGTCCTTAATTCCTAGTTGTTGGTTTTCAAACGGAATTTTATATACGTCCGCTTTTTCTTCTTTCTTAAGCTTGTCCTTGTCGTTTCTGAAAATACTATACAAATTAGGAGCTCTTTTGTAAACAATTTGGGAGTGTTTTTTTGTCCAAAACTTGCTTCATGATGTCCTTGATTTTTTTATTATATGTGAACTTTGTGATTTTTAACTGATTTGTCTGGATTCTTAAGCTTTTGCCTCTCATAACTTTTAATTAGCCCTTCTATTGTACTTTTCCTATAACCCAAGTTTGAAGCTACTTCTTTGATCCTATTAATCTCCTTAATCCTGTCTAGTACATTAGAGCAATATGAATACGCTCTTCTGATGAGTGCACAAAATGCTGACATTTTGTATCCATATGGGTCATTCGAGTTAGCTGGTATGTAAAGAGAACTGTGTGCTGGTTTTATGTAAATACTCATTGTTATACAATCTCCTTTTACTTGTATGTCTATATCTAGAAAATGTATTCGTTCGTGACTCTTTTGCTCTAGTTTAAGTTTCAAACCATCATTATTGGTGATGTTGATTGCTTGTACAAACTCGTGTATTCTCTTGCTGTTTTTCCAAATAATGCACACAACATCCACATATCTTTTGTAAAATACCATATACTTTTTGAATCCATTAATAATGTGTTTTTCTAAGTTGCATATAACCAGCTCACATAGCAATCCTGACATCAGGCTTCCCATAAATACTCCTTTCTTTTGTCTGTATACTTGTTTATTGATAGATGTTAAATGTTTTATTAAGTGTTTTTAAAAGAAACTAAGTTTGATATTTAATAAATCACAACATTTATTATAACAATGTGAAATTATTTAGTAATCCATTACAATCTAATAGCCAAAAATATGTATTTATATATTATTTATTTATTAGAATATGTTTAAGATAAAAACATTCAAAATCTATTAATTCTTTCTCTTATCTATCATTTCATTATTTTTTTTTAATCCTACAAATAAGCAATTTTTAGCTCTGCAAATATATGAAATGTGTGAATATAGAGCTTCTATCATATGCTTATTTCCTGTAGCATTTATTGTATATTTCAAAGTATTATTTGTAAAAAAATGTTATTAGTTTTCTGGCCATACAAAAAACTTGATAAACAAAATAACAAGATACGTAACATCAAAAATCTTAATTTGTCATTTATTAATAAAACCAAAGTATTTTATAAAAAACTAAATGAAATGAAAATAAAAAATAAATATTTCTACAAGAAATTTACAAGTATTAATTGCAAATCAAAATTATTGTAAGAACTACTACTATTCAGCTACACAGAATATTGATTTTGTACTGGATTTGAATTTATTTTGTACCATATATTAAAAAATTTTATCAAATAAAGTTCATATATATATATTTGTAGTCTGAAAATACTTTTTCAATGCTTATAATTTAAATATCATTGATGTAAACAAATACATTTCTGCTACAAGAATATCAAAAATTTCATTAATGTAATAATGCTTCAAAAAAAAATCTTACCTGTTTAATTAATGTATCTATCATCAATATGAAGCATGTTAAATTTATTTCAGCTTCAGATTTATATTCAATATTTTGTGTTAAATTGAATTCTTCAGCAACATTTGATGATTCATCAGTTCCTGATCCTTGTTTTATGTCTGTCTTCTTTGCTAGACCAACTGTACTTTGTTGTCTTGGAATAACTTTTGATATTTTCCCTTTCACTTCTTCTTGTATTTCAATAGTGGAAATAACACCTTTACTAAACATTGTCAATATTAAATTTAAAGGAATAGGAACTTCCAGCATAGTAAGTATCTGTAAAAATATATATATATATTTATGTAATCATTCCCTAAAAAATTAAAATTACAAATTTCAATTTACAGATTTATTTTGATAAATTTATCTATATCAGTTCCAACATAATATAAATTTTAGAATTCAAGAAAGCTAACAAGTAAGAATTAGTATTAAATAAACAAATTTATTTCATAATAATTCTGTAAAAATAAATAAATAAATTGATAATATGTTATTATTTTAATTGTTTATTGTATACAAGTGGCTAGTTGGGACAATATCTCCAATATAGTAAATAGTTTTGTTATGGGGCATTTTCTTTTTCAGGTGGTACCTATTTACTAATCCTTCTATGGTTGATACCTACAATCAAAATCTGCTTCTATTTATGCTACTTATACTTAAGTTAGTTTCTTTGTCTCCCCCAAAATTAAAAAATGCCTTATGCTATGGTGTCATCAAGTGTTCAGTTAAGATACCTATGTTAAAAACAAAACAAACAGATTTTCAATGATTTCTTTGACAAATTTCAAAATTATTTTACTTTTCCTACCATTCTGGAGCTGAGATCTTTCATCAAGCTATCAACCATAAAAATCCATCTAGTGGTTTATGCAAAATTTCTTGTAAACTATAGAATTATATATTGAGAGATAATTAAAATAAATTGATCATCCTGTTTATGTTGTTCAAATAGATCATAATAATAAAAAATACCATCTTTTTATGTAGATAATCTGCAAGACCATATAACTTTCATGTAACCTATACCAGTACATATCTCACACCTTCAAAGTGGCATTAAAAACATGATATGCAAGTTAGAACGTATTATCTCAGGCATGTTATTTTGTTTTCTATTTCTCCCATTCATTTCTAATAGAAGTTCAGTGTAGATGTAATTTTCAAAAACAAAATTAGAAACTCATCTGCTTTCAAGATACATGTGTAACCTTTCATTCAATAATAAGTGTATAGGATTAAAATTTATTTTATTTTATGGTTGTTCAGAAAAAAAGTAAAAGTGTTTAATAGCATCTATTAAAGGGGATCAATGCACAAAAAAAATGAATGGGAGAATACTAGAGGAAAAGCATATGATACATACCTTCAGAGAATTTTGGAAAAAATTGTCTGCAGTAGATTCATATGTCAATACAGATAACCAATAATTTTGAATGATGTCAGACAAAACTGTATAAGTACTTCCTAATAGATTACAAGTTGCAAAATCAGTAGATAACTACCCCATTATATAACTAGCACTTAATTTCAAATTGATTTTTCTCATAGACTAGAAATTTTCCCATCAAGCATGATGGACTACTTTCTGTGAAAAAGCAGAGATTGAAGAATTGAGAAGAGATTTCAAGAAATTCAAGAAGCGTAGCTAATATTTCTACAAATTAAGTAGCCTATACTGTGGAGCTGGAACATAACTGATGCACAATAATACATTTTAATGAACAGGTTTTGTTAGACTGTTATTTACAATTGGTTGATAGAAAGTCATATGGTCACTATGGAATGTTGTTAAAAAAATTGTAGAAACAACATGCAGCTATATTTTTAAATTTTTAATGTTTAAATTTTAAAGTAAATTTTAAATTGCATCACTTGCCAAAATATTTTAAAATGCATCTTAAGGTAAATGATGTCACTGAGCTGAAATTGATAAACTTTTTTTAATAGCTAATAGCTGATATTTCTGCAAACTAAGTAGCTTATACTTTCCATTGGATCATAAAAAGAATATAACCAAAATTTCAATTGGCTTGGATAAAAATAAGGGTTATAGGGATTCAATATTGATATCAACATACCACACTTCTAAATAAAAAATTATTAACAAAAACAATATAACAATAAATAAATAGATAATACAATGTGTTATAAGTAACACCATATGTGGAAAAAGAAAGATAACAAATTAAGTTAATAAAAACAAACAGACTTTGGTTATTATATTAAAAATAATATCATCTTTCACATAAAAATATAGTAAATAAAAGTAGAAAGATTGTTACAGATCTTAATTTTTGGCAAAAGAAATAAAATATAAGTTACATAAATGTGTAGTTATATGTAAAACTCCTTTTGTAAAAGAAAAATCTATGAATTTATTAATGTATATTTTCTATCAAAATTGATTTAATAGTTAAACTTGACAGTTTATTATATATTTCATTTTATTCCAACTTTAATCACTATGAATGCAATACCTGTATATATATTTTATATATACGATCAAGGATATTTGATATTTTCCTTTAAGTATAAGTATGCTATATGAAAAAATCTTTAAACAATGTTTTCATCATCACAACAAAAATATCTCTGACAAGATTTCCCATCAAGTTTTCCAAGTAGGTTTTTCAAAATAGTATATCAGTTGGTTTGAAGAATCTTTTAGAAAATCCATTAACCATGTATGTAAATAAGTTGTTTTTCGGAAAATACATTTGGTATTTAATTTTTATGAACAATTCACAGTGTAAGCAAAACAAACAAACATTATAACCCAATATAAAAGAAAAATAGAGAGAAATAGTAAATTGGTTTGTAATTCTGATACTGTAAAGATTAAATTACAATATAGTGAGAATTCTAATACTGGTAGTAGTAAAATCAAGACTCCTGGTAATATTAGTTATAATCCAAAACAAAATATACTGAAATACCTGCTGATCAATATTGATAATTTAATATTAACCTACAATTTGTTAAAGTATGATTTTCACTTTATGTTTTATCACAGCTGCAAGAATAATAAAAATATATCAATCATTATCATAAATTGAATATTCATAAGTTAAAATCCACCTGCATATTTACAATATTTATTATTTGTCCTACGCAACAAAGATATCAAACATAAGACAAACTAGTTTTATTGAGTTACGAGTGGATACTTTCAATAATCATTTGGTAACTTTCTGGGTGGATATTAGTTACTATGAGAAAGATATAAAATGAAATCAAATATTTTCCTTTGACAAGTATTTAATAATGATTTAACTAATAAGTGTACAGGAGGAAACATATTTTTCTGTATCTGCACTAAAGGGTACAAAAATTTGCTCAATATTATTGAATGACAGCATCAATAATATGCTTTTTTTTTTGTAACTCTTTAGTATTCATTGTTCTTTAAACATTATAATTTATATTTTTATATAACAGAGCATTTTTTCCCTTTCTTTTACTTTACTATAACTTTATTGTATTACTCACTAATAGATTACTGTCTTAAATTATAAAATATAACAATTCAGTGGGTGATCACTTAACAAACAGTTAGGACTGCAACAAACACATTTGCAAACAATTTTTGTTTGGACAACAAATGCATGTTCAGATAATGAACACCTCATGGAACAAACACAAGCAGCAGCAATGCTGCATTTAAGATTTGTAAAACGATATTTTACTGGCATCTATGAATAGTTTCTGGAATGAAACTTTCACAGTTATATACATAACCATTTTTGCACTAGTTGATTTCTGTTCTCTGAATTTTTTGTAAGTGCTTTTCTGAACTTTTTATTTTAAAATACTGATAATATTATAGGGTCTAAAAAGAGTGTTCGCTATAGAAACTAAGCAAGAAATAATAGCTAAGGTAGAGAGTGGGCAGATGTCAGATGTTGCTAGGCAGTATGGCTTCAACAGATCTATAGTAGATACAATCTTAGCTAAGAAAGATATAATGAAAAAGACTCAAGCAGATAAAGGAGTAACAAAAATCACATCTGAGAAACAAAGATGTGCCATCCATGAAAAAAATAGAGAGATTGCTTTTAGTTTGTTATTGCATGTAAATAAATGTAGTAAGAAATTATATTGTTTTTTTATTTACTTTTTGGAGTCTCCAAAATGAATTAATCAAATTCCCATAAAAATCTATGGTAAATCAATAATCGGTTAACAAACAATTCGGGTAGTGAACATTGTCTTTGAACACCATATATCTTTAAATTAGAAATTTTTTGAATATCATGTATTTGACTAACACAATTTCCCAATATTGAAAAATACCAATTCTATTGATTTTGCAGAAATTCTACTACTAAAATTCTGGTATTTGGTATTAAAAATTCATCCAGTGTAGAAATGAAATTACACTTTACAAGTATAGTAGTAATGAAATTATACTTTACAAACCTGTAACCAATAGAGTGCTTGTTCTTGTACTGGGGCAGTAGAATTTTCAAATCTTGAACTAAGAAATCTATACATTTCCTGAGTACTAAATCCAAGAGGACTTAAATCAGGATCCAAAACTTTGCTAATAATTAAAACAAGAACAATTTATTTAGCCAATAGTGAATTTTCTTTTGCTATTTATTTTTATTTTCAAGCTTATATAATATTAAATGACTATTATGATTCCATAATATATTATAATAATGTAAATACATGTAGTATACAATATATATCACATAATGTAAAATATTATTTTTTAAAATTATAATATTTCAGTTCAATAATCTGTACTGAACTGAAATATTAAAATTTTGATGTGAAAATCAGGATTTATTTAATTAATTAGCATGGGAAATATATTTAGTTTTTCAAAGTTATTTAAAAAAAGGGAAGATACAAAATCACTTGTTCACTAGAAGGGGAAATCAATTTCCTTTCTTACAAGACCTTATTTACAAATTTGACATCCATCTGGCAGTTTACCCCCTCTCCACATCCAAATACATCCCATTAGTAACCGCAGATTCTTTTATGCTATTGGACAGAAAGGACGATAAAAAGGGTGATTTTTCTGCCATTCGAGGCAGTCAACAGAAATATGGCATTGCCATGGGAGACACGCAGTCCAGAGAAATCAGAAGATATGCCATAATGACGGCAGTCCACGACCAAAGGAAGCCAGTCAATGATCCCCAAGGACCTGCCATAAGAATAGAGTTGTCTCACTGATTCTCACTTGTGCATTCCCTCATCCCTCCTCTATCTAAGAGCTTCACCAAGCAACTTCATCGTATAGAAAGAGAAGACTATCAACTGATCAACATTTGAGGTAGTATGTTTGATATTTGTAAACTCTTTCTCTCTCTTTCTTGAAGGTTTAATAGTATACTCAGATTATCGATATATTCTCAGATTACAGATGTAAGTAGAGTTAAATTCGATCATGCTAACTTGTATTTGTAGTATTATATTGTATCTCATTGTTGTAATCTTTTATATTATTAAACCTTTATTTGTTAGTTATGACAAGTCAGACAAAGGGGAGGGGAGGGGTTGACTTCAATGTTTGTCCGTTTTATTTCATTAAATTTTATACAGTTTATACATTTTATTATTCATAAAGAGGTAAAGATTTTGAGGAGGGGTTGAGTTTTGCTGGATGTTCAAAGAGGGGAGGGGTTACAGAAACTTGAATAAACTGGGGCAATGGGGAGAAGGGGAGTAAAAATTTTAAGAAAAATGCAGATGTAATTTATGGACAGCTCCTAACATGTGTGAAGGAGGACAAAATATGAAAACAGTTTTATTTTAAATTTAGTGTTTCTACATGTATCATCATAACTAAGTGATTACAGGTAACCCCNCCCATCCTTGTTAGACAAACAGAGGACTAGTTTAACAACTAGACTCTGATTAAGTGGTACATGAGTAAAAACTGCTCTGTATCCCCGGCTAGCCCCTCACACTGTTATCAAGTGTCTTCAGTAAAGAATAACTTATTTGACCTGTTGTTAAGTTATAGAATTAAAAATTAGATTACACATATTTCTTTTTTTGGACAATATGTTCAGTTATCGAGAGTCAAGTTTCTGGGACTCTATTGTATATCAGACAAATACTTAAATATGTAATATTTTGGCAATTACAAGTGATGGTAATACTGATAAGATGATCTAAATACAATTATTTGGATATTTCTCACATTAGAATTTAATGTAATATCAAATATCAATACGTATAGCATTGATACTAGATATTAATTGTAACCAAAATTCTCTCATTGTTGAAAAATATATATTTTGAAATATATATATTGCAACAAACATACCAAGAACATTACATATATAGATATACAGATCTAAGATTTTACATTGTAATCTTGATTATTTTATCTACATGAAATCAATAGAGAGTTAGATTAATGAAACATTAGAAATATTAAAACTAATGAAAAGAGACAAATCAAGTTGATTTTAGTGGAAGTCTGGTACAAGTATAAAATCATTTATTAATAATTACTCAATTGAAAGAATTACTTTCTTTTTTCACTTACTATGCTATAACAACAAGATTCTGCATTATCTGAGGCAAACTTTTAAGTGAATACACCATTTTCCTTATACTGTAATTCATTAAAAAAAGCATAAAATGATAACATATATTACAAACATATGTTTCTGTTACTTTTTATCATTTAACTTCAATGTAATTAATATTAAAATGTATCTACAATAATAAATATTTTTATCCTTAAACTATTGTAAATATGTATTAGCTGAATAATATATGATTAAATCCACTAAGAAACTTAAAAGTGATACATATAAATCTTTTTGTAAATGAATCATCTAAATCTTCATATTTGTAATTTTTAATCTTAAATTACTATGGCCATCAATTTTATCCAAGTTTTCAGTTATCCAAGATTGCATCAGTCCACATTACCTCAGATAATCAGGGTTCTACTGTAGTTTCTATTAGAATCATAAACCAATAAACAGCAACAGAAAATTTCATAGATTTTTTTTGGTACCTATAAAAACAATCATATGAAATGAATTTTTTGTAGTACTGTCTCTTCAAGTTGATTCTTAGCATATCCTGGATGTGAAATATGAAATGAAATGTATCCATATTAAATAAAATGAAATCTTTACTAATAGATTAAAGATTGAATGCATTTAACAAAAACTTTGAATTCTATATTTATTTTTAAAATTTTTGTTTGATGTAAAATTAATAAAACTTAAATTTTTATTCAATTGGAAAAACTTATTAGATTAAATTTCTGTTAAATTAATTAGCATTTCTTTTAATATACCTTACTTATAAGTTTAAAAATTTGTCAAAAATAATTGACAACTGAAAACTACATTTCAAACTAGATTTGTTGATAGCACATACTTGTGTACTGTACTTTCTCCTCTGATCAAGTAACATATGTTTAAATTGCATTACAGTATAATCAATAATTAACTTATTAACTTTCTGTCAAAAAGTTTAAAATATTTACATTTATTTCTAATAAATTTATTTTTCTGATTAAAATACATCTATAAATCAACATCACTAAGCCAGACGTATTAATTATAAACCAAATGATTGTCATAATTAATATTATAATTGTTCATTTTGATAAGAGATGGCATAACATTGACCTCTAATACCAAATTACTTAATATCTAATTACTAACAGTAGTGAAAAATAGCCCAATTAATTACAGCAATCATTTGGTTTATTAAAATACATTTTGGTGTTCAGTCACCAAATGAGAATGATTTGATGCTGATGAGTGTCCAGCTGGATTTTTTATATTTTTTATTTACAATTATATACAGCAATGTACAATGTATGTACAGTCAACCCCCCTATAAGATATAGATACGTTCCAATTTATTAGGAATCCGATTTCTTACAAGTCGTTCCAATCACAGCCCGACACGTGTCAAGTTTATGGACTACGGCTGATTGAAAGGTTTTCTTCCATAAAATTAATCGATTCTACACTAATCCGACTCAACATTTCCAAAATACGTATATTTTTTCGTAGTTTTATAGGAATCGTAATTATAGGGACCGTAATTATAGGGGGTCGACTGTAAAATGTTTTTACAGTTCAATATCGATCAAAGGTCCAGTTTGTTTTTGTTCATGTTGGCCACTCATTCAAACATCCATTCTCGGTAGCCGTTGATCTGAAAGTGAGTGTCCAGTTCAAAGTTCGCTTTTCTCTTCTTTTCCTGCGCCCTCTATTGGTCCAAATCAGCACATTGCCGATGGGAGCAACAACATCAATGATACAGTTGATAGAACAATTTTTTAGGGATATAGCTTTTGAAAAATTTAAAAAATTTTTTAAAAGTCTATATTCCTAAAATAACACAATGAAATAATGACATTTATTCTCAAGTAATGACAGCTCAGTTAAGTTAATTCATTAATTACTGTATATATTCTACTATATACAAGTACTGTACACATATTTTTTTTCTATGATATTAAACATTACAAAATTAACCCACTGTAACCCTTTCATACTAGTCTTCTGTAAATATTAATTCATTTTAAAACATATTATATATAACTTTTTTAATATTAATAATTTAAAGTTATTTTAATAAAATAAGAATAAATTATTATTATTCTTATTTTTTAGCATTAATTTTTGGGAGTTACTAGTGCTAAAAATTAAAAGTAATATTCATAAAATTTTGAAATACTACAAAATTTAAAACAATAATAATAAAAATTGTTTCGTGAATATTCATTTATTGACAAGACTATGTCTTGTTTATAAAATCGTACTGCTGGTCAATGTTACCAGCTTAGAGGTATGAAGGAGTACATGTCGAGAGTTGATATTTGGCACAGAGTCTTAGGTGCCAAATCATTTGCGCATAAAGAAATCCAGACTTGTAAGTAGTCAGGGAACTGAGAACTAAGTCAAAACAAAATACAAAATGGCAACCTTAGGATTGAACACGTAGTTTCTTCTATGTTAAATAAAATTTGTAATCTAATTTAGTAAATTTGGGGGTGCTTCAGATATGATGTTAAAACGGTTTTATGTTGCTATAAGTGGGTTTTCTTAACATTATCTAGTATAGTAAAATCGTGGGACCGATAAAAATTTGACGTGTATGGCAGATGGCACCACCATGTGACCTTTGCCCTTTGACCTCACTTTCCTCCTAAACTCTAACGAGGAGAGACATCTTTTTACTTCATTTAGTTAACCTTTCTATCCGACAGCCATGCCAATCTAGGATTTATATAATATCTCGACACTATTGTAAATATCACATAAGAACATAAAGAAAAGAGGAAGATCCTCATATAGATACTGACAGTTACGATAGACCTGGAGAAGGTAATATACTTTAGATCGATGTGAACTCTCTCTCACATGTTAGATTTAGAAATAATCTTAGGTTAAAAATTAGAATTAAGATTAGGTTTAGATTAATTCTTTTGTATAATTTTATATTTTGATCCATTAAATATTTTTGATTGGTTATATAAATATGGCTTCTTTAACATTAATGTTAGATATTCACGAGTTTAGGGATAACGCATGTTAATCCGCGTAAAAAATAATTGATTAACTGGTATCGGGAATCCTGATGGAAGGAAAATGATGATTACGCGATCATCTGATTCCGCTTTAAATTAACATTCAAACTGTAAATTAACTTATAAGTTAAAGCCCTCCACCCTCGATTTCTTTGAATAGAAAAAACCCATCCTTGTTAGACAAACAGAGGACTAGTTTAACAACTAGACTCCGATTAAGTGGTACATGAGTAAAAACTGCTCTGTATCCCCGGCTAGCCCCTCACACTATTATCAAGTGTCTTCAGTAAAGAATAACTTATTTGACCTGTTGTTAAGTTATAGAATTAAAAATTAGATTACACATATTTCTTTTTTTGGACAATATGACAAATATCACAAAATGTTCAGTTATCGAGAGTCAATTTTCTGGGACTCTATTGTATATCAGACAAATACTTAAATATGTAATATTTTGGCAATTACAAGTGATGGTAATACTGATAAGATGATCTAAATACAATTATTTGGATATTTCTCACATTAGAATTTAATGTAATATCAAATATCAATACGTATAGCATTGATACTAGATATTAATTGTAACCAAAATTCTCTCATTGTTGAAAAATATATATTTTGAAATATATATATTGCAACAAACATACCAAGAACATTACATATATAGATATACAGATCTAAGATTTTACATTGTAATCTTGATTATTTTATCTACATGAAATCAATAGAGAGTTAGATTAATGAAACATTAGAAATATTAAAACTGGTGAAAAGAGACAAATCAAGTTGATTTTAGTGGAAGTCTGGTACAAGTATAAAATCATTTATTAATAATTACTCAATTGAAAGAATTACTTTCTTTTTTCACTTACTATGCTATAACAATAATTAAACTTACTATTAAGAAACAATAGATTAAGAAACAATAAATTTATATTAATAGAAAAATGCAATTGAAAAAATAAAATAAAATTAATTACAGTAGATACACAAACAAGCGCTAGTACAAAGAAACAAAGCTGACATATAAGAGTGGGAGTAAACAAAATACAAATAGCCCTTTAAAGAATGGGTCATTTGACTGTGTTAGAGAAAAAAGAATATTAGGCATTCAAAATCCAATAATTGAAATTCTCTTGTGTATATAATTTAAAATTAATAAAATACTTACATCAGGTGTTATAATATCATAAGGAACCAGACATAATAATCGCTTGAATCCTTCTTTGATACGGTATGTTTGTGAAGGCCACATATCCCTTAAATTTAATAACAGTCTACATTTAATGCTTTTGAATATAGAATAATAATTTTATAGTAGTAGTGAACTATTTTAAAAATTATAATTCCAAAACTTCAGATCTTACCAATGACCACCAACTTGTGCATATTCAGCTGGATGAGGAAGCAGACATGATACAAATATATTAAAATGTGTTTTTACTATTCCCATTAACCATCTATGAATATACTGAAAATAATATATTTATGTAATTATTACTTTTCATTATTTCTTATAAAAGTTTTCTCTATATCATAAACATATTATTTCTGAAAATAAATAATGTTGTGAAAATATTCACAAACAGCAAAAAAATTATGGAAGTAACTGGAATTTTTCATTAGTTCAATTCAAATATTTTCTAAAAATTCTGAATTTTAAAATTATTTTTATGTATTATCAATGATAATTACAATACAGTAGAGCGTCGATTTTCCGAATCAATTGGGGACTGGGGTTGTTCGTATAACTGATATTTCAGATAACCGATTTATGTACGAAAAAATAGTTTAACGTATCCGATGTTGAAATTTTTCTCCGTTGCATGTCGCTTCGCGTTGAATTTTCGTCGATGTTAAGCCTAACAAAGACTATTGTATCGTTAAAAATTATTTTTTTATTTTGTACAAACAAAATAAATATATTGAAAAATATAAAAACAATAAAAAATTATACTTCAGATGTTAATTTAGTATCAAAAACGTAAAATATTTGAGTAGCCCAAGACATAGCCAAAGATTGAAGCGCCACAGCACTGGAGAAAATTTAAATTTGCCGACTGGAATTCTTTCGGATGATTGACTTTCGGAAAATCGACGCTCTACTGTATTTCTAAATGCAATTTTCAGTATGTAAATTTTGATAAAATGATTTTTTCATTTATTTTTTAAATCTTTTTATATAAACATGAAAATGTGCATTAGTAATTAGATTTAATATGTAGATGAATACTTTTCTGTGAATACTTAACTATACTTTTTTTTTACTCTTTTCACTCTGTGGGAACTAAGGTCTTTGTCCATACCATTGTGCATTTAGTCAGGCACACAACAGAGATGGCAGACCATCCCTGAAAAATTCCTGAGATTTTTGACCACCTGGATTCAATCTCAGGTCCCCTGAGTTGTAGGCTGATGCCTTAACTACCTCAGACACCCTGCTGTCTAACTATACTTGTATGTTCATTTCATTACAACCTTTCAATGACATAATAATAAATATATTTTTCTTAATTCATACAAATATATATATTATTATTCTGTATTAAATTAACAATAGATAATATAATATAATTTGACCTGACCATTTGCAAATTTACACAAACATTTATTTTTATTTTTCACATAAATCAATAAACATAATGAAATAACATTTCAGTTTTGAATGTTTCAGTCTACTTAAATAGTAATTTCAACTTAATATGATTTACTACTTAAAAATAGAAGTATATATAGCAACATCCCAAAGCCTAATGTATATATTAATCCAAACAATTGCTGTAATTAATAAGGCTATTATTATGCTATAATTAATAATTAGAAATTAAATAACTTGGTACTAGAGATAGATGTCAGGTGATAAGCATCTAGCTACAGAGGCTTACAGAGGCTGACTGAGACTGACCTTAGCACCTCTAGCAAAATATATTAAGTGAATTCGTAATCAGAAAGACAAACTAACACATGTTAACAAAAAAATAGGAAAGAAACTATGTTGTGTTTTATTCAAATCAAAATTTATGCTATAATAATCCACATATTAAAGTTAAAAAAATTATATCTTGATTATATACAAATGAACAATATGTTTTTTACTATATTTACATTTTATATTTAAACAATCTTAATATAATTGAAAGAAATGAAATGATAAAAATCATTCATTACATGCTCAGACCACAATCTCTAGATTATAAAAAACAAAAAACTATGTTCATTTAAGAAAAGTTCACCAAATGATCAGATGAAACAACCCAGGTTTTAAGAAAAATAAAATAAATAAATATAGTGAAATTTGTGATGTATGCAATAAAAGATTTCTGTTTTTGTATAGTTTGAGAAGACAAAAATGCAGCATATAGAAATAAATGCTTATATAAAAGAGATTTTTTAGAAAAAAAGAGCAATGTTATAAGTAGAAAATTAAGATTTTAACATCTCATAAACAACTGTAACAATACATTTCTATTTCGTCACTTATTAAAAGCTCATTTTATTTCTGAACACAAATTACAACTTGACTTTAGAGAAATATCAATTTAGTTCTGAAAATGATAAGTAATTTTCAATTAAATGTAGGCCTATTATTTTTTATAATGAATATATTCATTTTAAATTAACATATTTATTAATATTTACGAATTTGAGTATATTACTTAAAAGAAATAATGATTTTTAATGCTTATTATGCAGAATTTGAACACTGAAAAGAAAAATCGGAAAAATTTATCTGTACATGTTTTAGATGGATCTAAATATCGTAAGTACGGTCAAATAAAGAAATTTTATAATTGTCATTGAGTTTACAAATATCAAAAGTCTGGGGAAAATACGAGAGCTCCAAAAGGGGTATCAGGGAATTTTAAAACCAAATGTTAAACCCCAAAAGTACATTTATTGTACAAAGATGTCTTTTGTAAAATATAAATAGAATATTGTTTTCAAATAAGCATTTATGTTAATCATTAAAATTGAAAATGAATATTGCAAATGTATACTATTTTACTTCATAATATATGCAAACCTTTGATTTCTTTCAGTGAAGTATGTTATATGAATTCTTACATAGTTCATTAGTGTCATGTGACCAAAAAGGTTGGAAAGCACTGCTGTATAGTAATTTCTCATTTCTACTTTTTTATTTTTATGATATTTTATACTGTGTTTTTTATTTTTTTGTCCTCAGCCTAGCTAATTGAAACAATGTTAAATTTCCTTTGATTTAATGCTTTTTTTTAACTTGCATTTCCCTTGCTTTACCTTTTTTTTTCTGTTGGTTGTCAGAAAAACAAATTGCTGATTACCATATAGGTCTAGATTATTGTATTGTATTGATTACCATATCTCATTGTGCTATTTATTGTACAGATTGTTTTGTTTTATAATTAATGTATTTAATAAATTTGTATTTCTTTAGTAATAATATAATATTTTCAGTATTAAATAGTTTATTATTGTTATTTATTAAAAATTTCAATTTAACTTGCATTTATTACGATATAGTAAATAATTTTTTTTCTATTAAAATTACTTTAGAATTTAAGAATTTCCAGAAAAATTATTTTCTATCAATTTATCATTACTTCAATAAATGAAAATTAGGATAAAAACTCATATTTAAAATTTTTTATTTATGAAAAATACATTTTCATATTAAAACATTTCACTTAATTTTTAACACTTGGAAACTACAGTACTTGACTAATACTTTTAAATTTATCAACGTATAATTTATCAATTTATCTTATACAATAATTTAGCAAATCAATTCCTATATTTATATTATTATTCTGGAAGAAGTTTTTAAAATAAACAAAATCCATTTGGCATAAATATTCCAATATTTGTATATGTAAATGTGTTTAATTACAAGTTTAATTGAAATAAAAGAAGACAAAGTAGTGCTAATACATTTCAATAAATATAATAATACATATTGAAAGTATAACTTTCAATATGTATTATTATAGTTTAAATTTTGATTTGAATAAAAAAAACATAGCTTATCTCCTAATTTTTGTTATCACATGTTAGTTCAACTTTCTGACTACAAGTTCACTCAATATATTTCGCTAGAGGTGCTACAGTCAGTCTCAGCTAGCCTGTGTGTTCCTGCAGCTAGATGTGTGTGTCAGGTTCCATCTGTTAACTTAGATAAGAGATGTAGATAAGAGATAAGGTACTAGAGGTAGACATTAGGTGCCATCTCTTATCTATGTCTACCTTTAGTACCAAATTATTTAGGTTATAATTATTAATTATAGCATAATAATAGCCCAATTAATTATAGCAATAATTTGGATTGGTAAAAGTAGAAGACTTAATATATTCCATTATACTGTTCTCTACTTCTATTCTCCATCAAAAAAATTTTATTTTCTTTGCTTGTTAAAATATGAATAGTGTGTACATTTTTATATTTTAAAAGCATTAAATGTAAAAATCTGTATACTAAATGTATATGTTAAAAACTACTTATCAGTAATTTATTTTTTAGATGTTATGTTTTTACTTTTTGTAATTTTTGTTATATAAAAGATATGAAAAAAATTATATTTATTAGAAATATATATATACACACTGAGTGGCCAAAAAATTAGACACACCCCTTATTTGAAAGTAAATCAGTCCAACAGTGATGTAGAGTGACATAACAATGCAGAGTTGCTTATATAAGGTATGCTCAGCTTCAGATGACATAGTTATCATGGAAGTTAATGTCAAAATGGGTAAGACAAAAGATTTAAGTGACTTTGAATGAGGGATGATCATCAGTGCAAGAAGAGCTGATGTCAGCATCTCTGAAATGACGACTCTTAGGATTTTCTTGCCCAACAGTATCTCGGGTGTTTAGAAAGTGTATCAAAAAGAAAGTATTTAGAAAGTGTTAGAAAGTGTTTAGAAAGTGTATTAGTGCAGTTGAAGAAAAAAACTTCAAGCAATAAGGACAGTTCTGGTTGAAAAAGGCTGGTGAATGAGAGAGGGGTGAAAGGCAATTAGTCCACAGCTTCAGAAGGACAACAACACGACAAATTACAGCTGAATTCAATGCAGGTGCATCAAAAGCATATCCCAATGCACAACAAAAAACACTTTGCAAATGGGCTTTAGCAGCAGGAGACCACAAGAGTGCCTTTGGTATCATAGAAAAATAGGAAAAGGCACATGTTGTGGGCCCAGGAATGATAAAATTGGTCACTTGAGGGCTGAAAAAAAATAGCCTGGTCTAATAAATCTCATTTCCTGCTCCATCATGCAGATGCAAGATCAGAATATGGTGCAAACAGCACAAATTCGTGGACCCCTCCTGCCAAATGACAACTCTTCAGGCTGGTGGCAGTGGAATTATGGTGTGGGGAATGTTTTCCTGGAGTACACTAGGTTCCTTGATATTTGTGGACACATCTCCGAATAGAACAATTTACCTCAACATCATTGTTGATCACGTACACTTGTTTATGGTTGTAATGTTCCCTGATGACGATATAACTTTCAGCAGGACAATGCACCTTGTCATTGTGCTCGATTGGTCTCAAATTGGTTTGAGGAATTTCAGTCATGTTTAACCTGCTTCCATGACCAGCTTAGTCCCCTGACCTCAATCCTACAGAGCATCTGTGGGACAAAGTCAAAAGATCACTTCAAAGCTTGGAAATGCCACCACCATCCAATCTGACCCAACTAAGAGCTACCATTATGTTAGCATGGACCAACATTCCTCAGCAACAGTATCAGCAACTTGTTGAGTTCATACCAAGAAGAATATTGGCTGTGATCAGAGCTATAGGTGGACCAAATCATTATTAGAGGATGTCTTTAATTTTTTGGTCACTCAGTGTGTGTACATATATAATTAATACTACTAAGTTTTCGTTTAAAGCCACAAAAATATATGGTATAGAAAAAAATTATTATAATAATATGTTGTAAATATATTCATTCTGAGTCTCATTTAATTTTAAATTATTATTTCATTATAAAATTTTCATTAATTTACCTCAGTTTTCAATCTTTCTAGTGCATTTCCAGCTTGATCTTTAAAGAAAAAAAATCATATTATCAAATAATAATTATCATAATAATTATATGTATGATGTAAATATATTCTTTGAAAAAATTACGATTAGCTATTTGAAATATCAAATTTTCAAAAACTAATTATTTAAAATATGTGAATAAAAACATTGATTAAATTGTTTGTTTTATTTAAATAGGAATTAACACAATATAAAGTGCTTTAAATATATATATTGTACAATGTATGTACAGTCNATCTGGATTTTCCAGATGGGGTTGATTCCCATCTGGATTTTGTGTGTATACATGTAAATTAGCATTTTCAGTATTGTAAACTCCAAATGCACTGTAATTCAAGTTTAGGTGTTCTAAATTCAAACCAGTCTTTCATAAGGAATGTAGGATATTAAAACAAAAAGTACACTAATCATAATTATTTCAAAATTAAAATATTACAAATTCCAAATGAATGTTAGAGCATCAAAAATGCAAGCAGAAATATAATCAATGAAAAAGTTACTACTGAAAGGGCTGAATCTGGATTTGTGATGTCCAGATTTTTGACACTTTACTGTATATGTATATATACAGTAAAGTGTCACAATAGCAATATATATATTTTTCATTCACCTTACTAACTTACTATTTCAAGAATAACATTTACATTTTTAAATTGAGTTATATTTTTGTTAAATTAATATATATTTCAATGTAGTGATTATATATATATATATATATACACATACACACTTTCTATTCTTTCACATAATTTTATGCTATATGGGATGAAGTTTTATGAAGTTAAATATTGATATATTGGGTTTTTTAAAATTATTTTAAAAGTTATATATACAGTGGGTGATCAGTTAACGAACGTAATCCGTTCCAAGACTTTGTTTGCTATATGAATTGTTCGTTAACCAATTATCAATTTACCATATGTTTGTATGGGAATTTGATTAATTTGTTCTGGAGACCAGTGGCATAGCATAGTGGGGGTGGCCTACCCCGGGCAGCACTTTTAGGAGGCAGCAAAATTTCACAATAAATAATAATAATATCTTGTAAAAATTTGAGCCATTTCATTTCATACTTTTGTTGCACCTACGATTCGAACCAATTGAAATGAGCGCTGAATTTTTCATTACTTATTCTGTGACGAAACTGAATTTTAGTCTTTTAAATTGAGATATCTAAATAAGGGGGTGACGAAATTTTCCTCCACCCCGGGCGGCTGACACCCACGCTACGCCACTGCTGGAGACTCCAAAAAAATAAAAAAATTTACACTTTCTTACTACATTTATTTATGTGTAATAATAAAAATACATATATACACACTTTCATTTTTATTAGTCATGTTTTTTTGTTTGTGGGGGTTAAATAATCTCTCTTCTTCAAAATTTTCAGAATTAATAACATTGTAATTGTAGAGATCTCCAAGCCTATTAACCTCAACTTGGTTTGTATGCCATTCTAAGACCAGTGATCTGACATTTCCACTTTTTCAAAAGATCTTTAATAGCAGATATCGGCATTAATCCTCTTTTTCATAATAAAACATATCTCGCTGAATTTCTTGGTGTTCTTCATTGAAGAGTTCTTGGTGTTCTTCTGTCGTCAGATCCATTTCAGGTTCCATTATGACCTCTTCAGTGTTCTTTATTTCTCAGATGTGATATTTGTTACTCCTTTAGCTGCTCGAGTTTTCTTAATTATACTGTATCTTTCTTAGATAAGATTGAACTGAGCCCTACTGTAGATTTGTTCAAGCCATACTGCCCACCAACATCAGACATCTTCTGCCCACTCCCTACTTTTGCTATTATACTCTCACCTTTCAAAAAGAAAAACAGATGCAAAACTTAATGAGTGCCTGCCTGACAGTCTCACAAATACTATAAAAGAATTGTTTGTCAGAAAAATAAAAGGCTGGAATTACAAGGGTGTATTTCAAAGTTTGAGGAATATTATTTGATCAGTATGTATCGAGTTGAGCGTCAACGTTGATGTCTCCCGCGCTCCAAAAAGTTACCTGAAGACAAAGGAAAATCAATCGGTATTTGCTATTTCCATTGCTTCTTTTTATGTTTGTTCAGTGAAGTGCTCTTATCCGATCATAAAAATCTTTCATGAAAGTGTTCGTTATCCGATTTGTTCGTTAACTGATCACCCACTGTATTAATAACCTTTTAAAAATTGTTGAAAGAAATAAGCAATGCTAAAAATATATACCAAAATATTTTAAGTTAAAGAGATTGATGATGAACAAAAATAATAATCTCCAAAATATATCTTTCTAAGTAATAAAGTACAGTGGTACCTCGGTATATGTCTGCTTTAGAATACGTCCGATTCGGAATACGTCCTGTTTGGATGAAACAAATTTTGCTTGGTATATGACTTTTGTTCGGTATACGACTTAATTCAATTATACGCACCATCTATGAACAAGTAGCACTATCGGTGTACTAGACTAGACTAGACGTTCGCGGTGCCATGGTTTATAACTTTGTTAAATTTCTTCTGATTTTAAATTTTAAGTAAAATTTTATTATTTTTATTAATCATGAATTGCAAAAAGGCAAATGAAAAGCAACAGAAAAATAAAAAAAATTACTAGCATCACAATGGAACTGAAAAAAGAGATTGTTGAGAAATATGAAGATGGCATGTGTGTTCGAGATTTAACTGTTGCATACCGTATTCCAAGAACGATGATATCGACAATCGTGAAAAATAAAGACATTATTAAATCTGCTAACGTTGTGAAAGGGGTTAAATCAATTTCTAAACAGAGATCGAAGACATTAGATCATGTCGAGAAATTGCTTTTGCTTTGGATAACTGAAAAACAGTGTGCTAGAGACAGAGTATCGGAAGCAATTATTTACGAGAAAGCTAAAAAGACACATGCTGATCTCATGAAAAATCTAGCAGGAACTAGCCAGGAAAGTGAGGTGTTTCAAGCCTGCCATTATTTTACATGAGAACGGATTAATCATTTTTACATTACTTCTTATGGGAAAGGTTGGTTTGGTATATGTCCTATTCGGTATAAGTCCAAACATCAGGAACAGATTAAGGTCATATACCGAGGTTCCACTGTATGTAAAAATTGAAAAGTAAATAAGGACTCTGCTTTAAAAAACTTGAAACTGGAGTACTGCAAACAGTCTAAACAAGGTTTGAATGTAAAGCATATGAAAATAAAGTATCTTTATCTCTTTTTTATATCATGCATAAATGTATTTAAATAAATTGATTTTAAAAATTTAATCATAGAAAACTACAAGTATATAGAAATAGTTTTATATGAATTTAAAACAATTAAGCAATTATTTAAAATTATATTTAAACAAATAAAATGCATACCATCTGGTAAACAAGCTGTGTAATGAAACCATTGAAATAACATACTTAATAACCGACCTAAAGTTTCCTGTAAAAATAACTTTTTTAATATTTTTATTTCACATAAAAATGTTTTAATATAATTAGATCTACATTATTATAGTTCTATTTAAGATATAATTTATATAATATTTAATAATATATTTCTATTACACTCTGCATTTACCACTAAACTTCACTCTAGCATTTAATATTTAAAAAAGTGCAACTAATTCTATTTATAAATTTAATTCATGCAATTTTTATAAATAATTATTAATTTTTATTTTTACCTAAGTTAATACAAAACTATAAATTTGAACTTTTCCTTTTTTTTTGTCTACTTGATGAGAAATTTATCCTTGTAATTTCCAACAGTTTAATTACTGCCTTTTAAAATTAGTATTACTCTCATAATAAAAACCTGAACAAAATTCAAAAATAGATTATCAAAATGTGCAAATAACATGCCATGTTTTGAGGTGCAGGGAATAAGTTGCAGGTAAAAAGCATACGGTGAATATATATATTATTTTTAGAGTTTGGAAAATGCAAATGTTACAGAGGAGCATTAAATTTTGTTACTCACTGATTCAATATTCCTTTGTTTCAAGCTGTAAACCCTGGCATCAAAAATGTAAAATACTGTGGCTGTTCAGACCATAATAGATTATTTTAAAATACTGAATTAAGAAAATTGAAGAGAATTTTTTTATTTGCTGTTCATTTCTTCTATAAGAGTTTTGAACAGTAATGAATAGGACTGAAAATATTTATTTGATAGAGTTGTATCTTGTATATTCTTCTAAAATATTTGCATGTTTTTTATATTCATCATCTGTTCAGATAGTTCCACTTTATTTCTTTTGTTTGATATTTTAAGAAAATCCATCGTAAAAACTTCTGTAGTGGATTTAATAGACAGTCAATTAAATAGCAGTAAATCTGGATGAAATGATGGTATAGGCTACATATGTTGATTAGCATTATTATGCAACAAGACTATTTTTGATAGCAAACCTTTTATCACAGGTAGATGTTGTACAATGATGTTTCCTTCACAATACATGATAAGGCTTCACTTATCCCCAAAAAGCTTCTGTGTTTTTCTAGATTGTCAATATTGATTTTTTTTTTTTTTTTAAGAGAAAGCCTACATATATTCTCTTATATTTATTTTATGCCAAATGACATATATTTTAGTATTCACCATATATTGAACTTATTAGGAGTATTTACAATGGAAAACTCTTCTAGATGAACNAAAAATAATTATATCATTTGATTTCATGATATTTTGTATATCTTAAAAATAATTAATTTTGTCCCGGGATCCCGGGAAACAGTTCACTTTTATCCCGAAATCCCGGGACAAGCGAAAGACCGGGAAATGAGAAACACTAATCTCGCACTTCTGGGAAAGCCTTCACTTTCACTTTTCTCAATAGCCAATCTGAATTCAATTGTTTTCTTGACGCCACACAGAGTGCATTACACGATTACAGAGCAAAAAACTGACCGCTAAATGTAAGAAACATGCGAATCACAAATGGCTGTTGAAAAACATATCTGAAGTCAAAAATAACGAATTTTTAGGTGAATTTTTTTTGTATTTTCGGTTATAGCACTTATATTTATCTGTCATTCTAGCCAGGACTCTCCCAGGAGAACTTTTTGATGCTCTATCTGATTTTCCAACCCGAAAATTTCTGTTACGTGGATGCTGAGTTACATCTTATAAAAATCAAGATTTTTTGATCTGATATGGTTCAGCCGAACTATATATTGAAAATATCCTTGAAATTGTCGTTCTAAGAATATTTTTCAAACACGCTTTTTTATTTTTGCAATATCTAATTTTTATTAAAATTATTTTAGAATAAACTCTTATCATCAAAAGAATATGTAATAAATAACAATCAATCAACAATAAAAAAGAACTATTACAAAAGAGCTACTGTGGTAAATAGCATTGATATGTGAAAGAGCCATCAATATTTCAAATAAAAAGAAATAAGAAAGTAAAATTCTCTCTAAATAAAATAATGAGAGAATATGAAATTTAAATTCGTTATAATACCATAAATGTTAAACTCCAGCTGTAATAAAGGAAAATAAAGTAGAGTATAGGTATGGTGACCATATGGCCTTTATTTAAGAGGACAGTCCTTTATTTCACTGTTCTGTCCTTTAACTTTATTTATTTTCTAAAATAGAGGTTTTGTCCTTTATTTTGTAAAGTTGACGCAAAGTTTAAAAAAATTTTTCTTAATAATTTATTGAACAAGTTAGTTTTGTGTACGCCATCACAACCAGTGTTGCATTGCTACATAGAGCATGGTAGTGCAGTGTGTCGCCAACCAAAAATCCCATTGACAGTACCAGGGGGTGGACACCCTTATGGGGATTTTTGTGATAGTTTTTTAACTCTCTAGTTGGTGGTGGATAATACACTTGGAGCATTGGTGAGCATTTGCCGCCACTTGTCAGCAATCTTTGGGGGCTCAAGCATGTGGCATATTTACTGTTGAGTGTCCCTTCCCTTTATAGTACACTCCATTTCTCTGGACAGTACACATATGGACTTTGCATCAGTTACTACACTTTTACGCAATGTTAATTAGTTACACAAGGACTGCATGTGAGTTTTTAGTCTATTATTTCTAATTTTTCGTATTTAGATATTATTTAATTTATATTTTGTAGATCATTTATCATGGCACCGAAAAGAAAATGCTTTTGTAATCAAACATTACAAGAAGAATTTCCATTTATTAAAAAAGGAATAACGGATAGTGATGTCAAATGCAACAAATGTTTAGCCAGCTTTAATATTGTGAATAGTGGCAGATCAGCAATTACACAACATATTCAGACAGCAAAACACAAAGAAGTGGATGTCCGGGCTTGAACAAACAAATCATTGAACTCATTTTTCGTTAATAAAAATTCCGATGACAACCTAATGGCTTTAGCACTAAAAGAGCCATCTTGGTGTTATTATTCAATACAACATAACTATTCATTTCAATCAAACAACTGCTCTTCTAAATTAATTAAGAAATGTTTTAAGGAAAAATATTCTTGTGCAAGAACAAAAATGGAAGCAATCATTTGTAATGTTTTCACACCATATTCTTTTGAATCAATTAAAACTGACTTAAGCAAAACAAATTATGTAACTATTTATTCGGATTGTTCGAATCATGGTAATACTAAATTGTGCACAATTCTGATCAGATATTTTTTACCCAATTGCAGTGTCAGAGTAAAAGTTTTAAATATAAATAATCTTTCTGGAGAAACTTCAGATATATTATATTAACAAATTGTATCAAGGAATCACTGTCAAAATTTGAAATTACTAATAAATTACTCACTTTGTGTGCTGACAATACCAACAGCAATTTTGTTGGTTCTCAGAGAAAAGGAAAGAATAATGTTTTATTTAAAATGCAACAATCAAGTAAACATAAATTGATAGGAGTTAATTGTGCTGCCCACATATTGAACAATTGCATAAGCACTGTTGTAGATTGTCTTCCGATAGATATTAAAGTGATATTAGTAAAAATTTATTCACATTTCTATATTTACACAATACAAGTAGATTTCAAAGAATTTTGTGATGATGCAGAGGTTCAATATAAAAAGCTTCTTGGTTACAGCAAAACATGCTGGCTAACTCTTTTACCAGCTTTAGATAGAATTTTACAACTATTTAATCCATTAAAATCATACTTTTTGAATCTGAAAAAATGTCCCACAATTCTGAAAAACTTTTTCAATGAAACATTAGCAGAGGAATGATTATCATTTATTCATAACCAAGCCTCAATATTTCACCAATATACTGCAAGGTCTCTTTTTATGCGGATTATTTTTATGCAATTTTGAAGTTGTGCGGTTTGTATTTCATCCAAAAATTTCTTGGACAAACATACATATAGGCTTGTTTAGGAAACCCGCGTATAGACAGTCTCCAAAAATTGTGGAACGCTCAAAGCTCACTCCATTTGTTCCACTGACATATAACGTTTATGGATGTAAAGGACAGCTAGATCTACCTTAATCGCTTTAGTTCCTAGCAATTTTTGATATAAATGTAATTAAACATAAAAAATACTTAAAACTGAAAAAAAACGAAAGAAATGCGTTAATTTTGAAGAAAAAGCTTCAAAGTTTAACTTCCTTTGTCTCGCCCTTCTGTGAAATTTAACACCGATGAGTCATTGTTTACACATCTGGATGACCTTGAACACAGCTGGAGTTGGATTTCCCGGGGCATTCTCATAGACGTCGCGGGAGGACAAGGGTTTAAAGTAGGGTGAACACTAGCTGGCCGTATATTTTTAAATATTTTTAAAAAATTTGGAGACTTAAAAAACATTCCAAAAATTCAAAAAAAAAATTTAAAAATGGCCTTAAGGACCGTGTTTTATGTAACGCTATGTAACCTGCCCGAGTTAACTCGGGCGAGGAACTAAAGGGGTTTTAATTAACTCTTCACATCCAGATGTCAGTGATTTGTTTTTAGAGTGAGCTTTTGCAATTCGGGGATTCCCCTTGTACATGATACCATCGACAAGTCGCTATTACATCATTCTGAGTTTCGCATTGAAAGGTATAAACTGTAATTGTTTTGAAATTAAATTTTATATGAATTTCTTTCAGACATTCGAAGTAATTTATTAAGCAGCCTATTTCTTTTAATTTCTGCAAACTTTTTTATGCGGTTTTAAGTTAATTTTAACTCGTTGTTTTGGTTTTATGCGATTTTAGAAAATTACGGAACGTATCCCTAGTTTTTCAAGGCAAGTAAAGTCTTTTTTTATGCGAATTTTTTATATGTGCTTTTCTGCAGAACATATCCACCACATAAAACGAGACCTTACAGTATATTGAAAGTTGAATCACATGAAATCTCAATGTGAGAAACATCCATACTTCTAAAGGAATTAAAGCTAAAGTTAGTTGAAAGAAAAAATGAGGGGTTTCTTCCTATTGTTATTAGAAAAGTGGTTTTAGCATTAGAAAAATCAGAAAATA